AGAAGAATACCCGTAGTGGTGGTAGCAATCTTTGCCCTTCAACTTGAGTCTTCTTGCATGTCGTGCGCGCTTTCATTACGGCTGCCGCTGCTGCTGCTGCTACGCTTACCTGGTTGGTTCACCGCACAGCGCAACCACCAACCAACGAGCAAACTGCTCAAACTGTTCGTTCGCTTGCTCGTCTCTGTCCGAACACAACCACGCGTCCAACGTTGTTCACAGTTATGTATGTATGCATGTGTCTCTCACTCTACCTCTATACGCTAGCGCGCCATTTCAAGTTCGAACGCGCTGAGCGCACTGATGTTTTTTCATCTACTGTCATACGCACCAGAAGCACGGCGAACTTCTAGAACCGTTGCGTTAACGCCTCTGTCGTCTATGTCGCACAGTGTTGCATGTTTTCAATCTACATAGCTTATTTCAGCGGCTCTACACTTCCTCAGCGTCAACGCGTAACTTTCAGGAAGTATAAGCGTGACGTACTCTGTTCGCAGACTGCGCTACATTGATACGCGCGCTGTGCTGTGTCGCTTTTGGCGGAAGGGCGCAAATATGCCGGAAGTGTCTGTGTTTGTTGGTAGTGTTAGTGGTTGTTTGGCTGGTGGGTTGCGCTTGCTGTCGTGCGCTCTTGGGCGGGTGGTGCATAAGAAGATAACTGGAGCAGGAAGTGCATGTCTGACGGCAGGAAAAAGCTACATTCGCTTTTGATGTATGCTTTTTGCGTACACTCACACACATGCAATGTCTGCGTTGTAGGCTATGTATTTCCATATGAATTTTTTTTTACAACTGTGCATTTAGGCTCACATACATAACAAGCGTGGGAATCGATTCAGCTTTAGCTAACTGATTCATATTATTTTTTTTTTGCAGTAAAAGTTTCTGTGTATAGTCTTATCTAGAGATATTTATTTCAGTTAGCACTAAAGTCTTATGTGCTATGTACGACTAGTTTCAGAATATTTTTCTAGCTCGTTATTGCCCAGCGAACCTTTACCCTGTGACTGCGCATATTAAATATGATACATATTTATTTGTCGCATAGCTTCACATGAAACCAGAACTTGGGCTATCTTATATTGGCTCTGTCTTTAATATAAACGCCATTTTAAATACAATCTTTAACTGTTTAGAAATGAATTGTTTGCGAAGCCTGTGAAAATAATCCTATTGCAGTTATTTCTTGACAATCAGCAGACCCCTTCTGCACCTAAATAGTTCCTCTAATTGGAAATCGTTAACAAAATTAGATAGACAAAGTCAGAGAGATGTTTCTAGTATATAGCTGAACACCTCTGTAGATGTAGATAGAGTCCTTCTTGTTTGCTCTGCGTGGCCGTCACGACATTTCTACCAGGAAGAAAGCCTCACCTCATAGTGTTCAGAGTCGTCATGGTTGGTCCATAGGTCATTTGTTACGGCATACCACAGCCACTCATAAATTTTCCTCAGTGGATCACAAATCAGTAATTCTAGTGAGTTATGTGCCTAACGACTATTTCGTTCCACTCGATATTGCGTTGTCCAAGAATCCAAAAGAGTGACGTTGACATAACCCATTTTCAGTGATGGTAGTGACGCATTTGTAGACAATCTCGACTTCCATTCCATATTAGACAAACGGTCATATCTATGGTAATGATCTTCACTTGAAAGAAACAGCAGTTATCTGGAAGACGATTTGATTGCCTGATCTGCAGGTTCATTGAATAGAGATCCTACATAATTTATATTCACTCAAGTTCGCTGGCTACCCATCTACGGTCCGCCTTTACAATTGCAAAAGTAAGAATGTCTTTTGCGGCTACCGCAGTTATGAAGACTTGTTGTGACTTTAAACAAAAAATCAAATGCAACACTTCTTGCAGGGACCGTAACAGTTAAAACAGTTTTGTTAAAAAAACCGCTCTTTAACAATTACTATTTGACTTTTATTTAATTAATCCTTAAATAAGCGTTATTTCTGACTTTAATTTTATATATATATAAAAAAAACAATTATTTTTGATTTTTATCTAAATAATCTGCAAATAACACTTATTTTTGATTTTTAAATTGTATGTCTTACACAACAGTTAACGAAGACTTTTATTTATAAAAATCATCAATATAAATCAGTCACTGACCTTTATTTTTTAAATCTTACTTATAAGTCATTTGTATAGGTCGTAGTAAACTTTTGACTCCCAACACCTTTATTGCGAAAAATGGTAGCGACTTTCATACGAATGATTTAAAAAAAAAAGTCGGTGACTGATTTTAATTGATGACTTTTATAAACAAGTCTTTAATAACTGTTATCTCTGACATATAATATAAGAATCAAAAATAATTTTTATTTTGCATAAAAATTGCAAATAAAAATTTATTTTCTAATTCCAATTTATTGAAATTTTTTTGACAGTTTTCATCAATAACTGTTATGTTCGGCCCTTGACTTTTTGGTTCAGTTAGAGCTTTGAGTATATGCCAGAAGCATTAAACCGGGCTAAGCTTGTCGGAGATAGGACTAAGTTTTTAACAGGATATAAATATTAAAAAAAAGGTTATCAAAGTCCTCCGTTATCTAGGCGAATGTTGAAGCGAAGTTACAGAATATGACTGACAAGAGTGTCATCAAAATTTATGTAGCCTAAGGCTTCTACTGTAAGAAACACCTTCCGTGAATGGTAGCCTTTTCCCTCCTGTGTTTTGGCAACTTCAAATAAGCTAAGGAAACCCAGATTTTTGGTCAATTTTGCACGTTCAGAAAGTCAATCGATCTGATTTCGATTTACTTAAAACTAAATTGGTTCAGAATTGTGAATATATATATTAATTTAGAGTCGAGATTGTATATAGGTATTTCTACAACTGTAGCACCAACAAAGTCCGATTAATAATGCAACAACGACATGGAAAAGCTCACTGATTAAGTTAAAGAAACGGAATTATGGTACTGTTGGAAAAAAACTATTGAACAACACAAGAAATTTTACAAATGTTTCTTAGGGTACGTTCATACAGAAAGCCGAGCCGCGCCGAGCGTAAAAAGGCAGAGCGAAGTTAAGCTGTTGCTGTTCACACTGAACGAATCACAAAAGTTACCTTCAATGAAAAGCGGCTAAAATATTTGTTCAATTTGCTGCAACTGCTTTCTCTAAAAATACATTTTCATTTATTTATTTTAATTTTTTTTTCACATCAGTGTCAAGAGGCGGAAAAATCAAATAGAAAATTTAAAATCAATAAATTCTTTGCTTTCAGCTCTAAAATGCTTCTGAAAAAGCTTGCTGTATGGATACTTCTGAAAGCTCCGCTAAGCTCGGAAGGGGTTCGCTCTGCTCGGCTCTGCTTCCTTTGTGAACGTACCATTAGAGATTATGTAACGAAAGTCTTACGTTGAATATAGATAAATATAATTCTGGAAAATTGATTTTTAAGTAGTTGGATTATGTGTCTGCAAACTAAACAAGGGTTAGGAAAAACTAGAGATGTTTAAACGAAGCGAAGTTATTCAAAAGTAACAGTTTCGCTAGGGCAATTGAGGGAACCGAAGAAGCACCCTATCATGGTCTTGAATCACACAACCTTCTTTGTCACATTCTTATCATTTTAAACTTCATTCACACCATTCGCGTGCTACCTGTTATCAATTGGTTCGAAGAAAGACAAACTCCCAGCACAAGTCAAGCGCCCACGCTACTTGAAAAATAAAAACAAAAAAACAACTAGCCCTCCAGGAGAAAACTTCAAACTTGTTCGAACACAACAACAAAGCTGAGGCAACATGTGCGCAAGAGCTCGTTTTGAATGCCAACTAAATAATACAAGCAAAATCCATAAACTGCTGATCGAGTTTGATCGTAAACGGTATTCCACGCAGGGTCGCTGGTGGTGGCTTTTTCATGCCGATGGCTAACGAACTGCAAAGCTACGTGAAAAAGTATGAGAGTGCACGTTTTTGTGTGCGCCAATACAGCAGCTCGTTTGCGAAAAAGGGATAGATAGAGTGAGCAATGAATTTAACTGTAATTTGCGCAGAAGCAAGAGCGAGGCAACAATATACAACGAATGGGACGCACATGCATACCAGTGTAGAAATTCAATGCATGGCTAAACACACAAGCGAACATGCACACACACACAAATTTAACCAGGTGTAATAGAGTAAATCAACATGCCTAGATATCACAAGCGCGATGGATACCTGAATGAATGAATGGGCTCAAATTTGCTGAGGCATCTAACCCGTTGTGGAACGCCGTTGGCAGTTGGAAACAACACATGGTTTGTATAACAGTTGAGCACAGGGTACACAGGCGAAATAGCGCGCACACACACACTCGCACTTACAAGTCTCACACACCCATGGCGTGCCATGGCCGTATAACAGTTACGACGATCGCATTGCAGGCCGCAGGCCCGCCAGCCAATAGAACGCTTCGACGCTTGCATAGCGGACACTAATACCAATGCCTCATTGACGCATGCACACATTACACAAACACAGCTGCCGCTGGTCGGACCAATTGCAAGCATTGGCGCAGTTGTTAGACGATAGACAAATAGTATTAGGCAGCGGGCAGCTCAAGGGGGAGAGCGTCCATATTTTGACAAGGCGAAGCGGCCACATTGGACGTTGGCGAACGCAAAGCTTTGGCTGGCGCGCGCAAAAAAACAAAAAGGAGCGCGTTTACTAGCGCAATGGCTTAGGGGTGGTGAAATAGGTGAATTTAAAAACGCGAGCGCGCACGCGCGGCTCTATGATGAAAATAATGCGTGCGCGTAACGCACTTTTTGCCATTCAGTCACACATCTTGCCTAGCGGACAACTGATGCACTCTCACTTCAACAATAACAAAATAGAGAGAAAAACAAATATTGACAAAAAACAAATTGAAGAAGCGAATACAAATTCAATTGAAAGCCAACAGACAGCGGGCGCCCAATTGCAACTCCTTTTGAAAAGGGGGAACATCTGCTTTGGAATCGATCGCTGCTGCGCGCTCACTCACCTTCGTGTCGCCGTGTTGCTGTTGCTGATGATGTGCCGCACCACTGCCCGCGCCACCATTTGTAATGAGGTTTGTCGCATCGACGATGGTGCTGCTAACGCCACTTTTCGGTTCCTTGCGTAGATCTTCCGGTTCGCGTTTGATGCTGATCGTCTGTTGAGCTTGTTGCTGGGCCAGACGTTGCTGTTCGGCGGTAACCACCACAGCTGTAGTGGCGCCACCAGCTGCCGCGGCTGCGGCTGTGGCGGCTGCCACAATGGCCGAATGCTGTGCGATGGACGTTGGTGTTGTGGATGCATTGCCGCTGCCGCCGCCAGCCGATGGGTGTGAACCAAGCAATAGGCCTTGGAATTCATTTTGCGATAGGCCGGATACGTCCAGAGGTGTGGTTTGACCATTTAACTTGTTGTTGGCCCCAGTTGTGGTGCTGCAAGGAAATTGAAGGAAAAAAATGAAAGAGTAAATTAGAAAACAGTAATGGTGATTAGCGAAAGAGAAGAGAAAAAAAAACAAAATTATAAATAATCTGAATAAAACAAAATATGCAGTGGACGGCTTCTTCTTTCAGCTGCCCGCTCAACTCTTTTACCTTCTTGACAAGTCATTGCATGTTGCAGCAACGGCTGCATGCGCGACAAATTGACAATTGGCTGTTGCAATCAACGCGCGCGAAAAAAAGTGTAGTTGAAGCAGTGCTTTTTTATGCTGCTGATAACAATTTTCAATTTGCATGTGGCAAATGTTTTGTGACTTGTGTCTCGAGGTAGATGCCCGACTGGAGGCTTTCGTTGCGGCAAGCTGTTTTGCGGTTAGTCGCGGACATGTTCGGGTGCAACAACACGAGCGTAATGATGGCGACGCGTGCGCCAAATTGCTAGCAAATTAGCGCATTTGTAATGGTTACAGCAATCAGCACTGCTCGGTAATCGATTATGAAGAGACAAACGCAAATATTTGTATGTACTATATTTGTGAGGTTGCAAAATATTTCAAGAAGTTAAATTTTTTTTAAAGAAATAATCATTCAATAAACTTCTGAGATCTTAAGAAGAGGAACCCCCTAAGAAAATAACAAACTTATTTGAGATCTTTTGTGTTTGCAGATCTTTGAAGTTGCGATAACTAGTCGGAAGATACGCCTAGACTGTGCTATTGGGACCACCGTCCGATTGCAGCTAAGGCACGCTTAGGTTAATTGGGTGAATCCCCTCCAGGTGTTGGTTTATAAATTTCTTATATAGTCCATATAAAATGGTTAAAAGGAAAAACACTGGTTGCTCCAAACGAAGTTCCGCAGGCAGCTGATGGCCACCCCTAAAACGTGTTAGTGAAATATGACCCGTGCTGCTGAAACTTTAGTCTTGTGTAAACAGGGCAGGGGAGAAGGAGATGCTGATGCCAATCCTTCAAGCAGCTACGGAAATAGGAGTGATCAGTACCTCGTGAGAACTTCTGTCAGAACACAACAGCAATGCATAGCCAGCTGAAGAAGGTACTTCGATCAACCACCTCTGTCGACTAAGGGTCAAAAATACTTTGTAATTTTAAATGTTGGTGTCCTTGACCATCGCTTGCTGAACCAACCTTAATCCCATCTGGCGACGAACAGTCTATAGGCGGCACCAAGTACTCGTATACCCTCTCTGCTGGTGGGTGGATAGAACCCCAGCGATGCCTTGTATAGTCAATTCATCAGGGATGCGCTTTCTTGAAAAGTCACTGAGCCATTGGTAAACTTTTCACTCTAATTTCAATCTCTCTTTAAACCAAACACTTCTTACTACACGAATACATAAAGTGAGTGTCAGTGAAAATCGTACAGTATTTTTCCCATTTTTGGAAAATATTTTGTTTTAATTACTAAAAATTTTAAATTAAAATATAGTTCACACTACAAATCCATAAAACTCAAAGTTTCTAACTTTGTAACAATTAAAAAAACATAAACAACTTTTCAACAAAATTTCGCACTTTTTATTCAGAATTTTAAGATTTTTTAAGAAGACGGAAATCTTCTAACACACGTCCAAAACACACTTCAGATTTGGATAAGAGAATTTCCAAATGTTATATAACGGAGACTATTTTGATGAAGCAAAAGGAACGGGGCAATGCATACGAGTCACGATGAGAATAGCAAGAAGGTGGCTGAAAAATTAAAAGACCTTCAAAGCCGACGGTAAACCGTATACCGGTGAAGAAAATTATGGTCGGATATGTAAATGATTGTTTGCACAAATTACAATGGAATCAGGCCTTTAAGGGGCCTGATATATCAGAACCATAACTTGTTATAATTTTTTTTTTACAATTTAATTGCTTCTTTTTTATACGCTTTTATTGTAAATATATTCCGATTCGTGGTGATTGTTTCTGACTCTATAAGTTAAAGAAAATGATCACATGCATTTAAATTAGTTAGTACAATTTATGTATAGGGGGCCGTAATTTTTTAAGTCCGGGGCCGGGGAGTTTTCTCTCGACGGCCTTGCATAGAATAAGTCCACTAAATATATCTCTCTCAAGTTTCAGTTCGACAGTTTTGTCTGAAATCATGATTGGGCCTAGTGTGCCAAATCACTGAAGGGATACGCAACACCTTCGCTTCTACTTTAGAACATTTTCTGATAGTACGAAGTGTTACTATCTACATACATCTACGATCTCATGTAACAATTTGAGATATCCGCTTATCTTACACGAATATCGCAAAACCTTCAGCTCAGTTCAAATGGTAAATAACTCTTCGATTCCTTTGAGACCAAAGGTGCATTTAGAGAACGTAAGCAGGACAAAGTATCTAAGTACTGGAAATACACAAAAAGTCTTCACTAATTAGCAGCTACAACTTTGAGGTAGTGATGAATTTTGTACCCAGCACCGAAAATGTATGCCTGGAGATAGAGTGAAGAATAACTCTTACCAATAGTAGATATGTAATGATTTACGCTCGGTTGGAAATCAAAAAAAAGCCATTCCCTTAAAAGGAAATAGGAACACTTCAGGAGCTTTCGAAGGAACATTTTTGCAGGTACCATATAGAAGGTGAGATGATGAAAACTCATAGATTACTCTGCCTAGGATAGGCAGGGTGTCCAGACTGTTTAAAAAAAGCACAATTTCTGAAAAAAAATCGCTAAAAATCGCCATTATCCAAAATTCTTCAGACTTATTCCACGGGAAAGCTAAAAGATTTAAATATTCAGTTTCCGCTGCTTTTCTTTCCTTCAAAGTAAAATAGTGAATTGCCAGGTCCCTGAAACTCGCCCTTTTGTGATTCACACACTTTTCTGGGGAAAAAATCAAAGCTTTTTTAAAAGTATTTAATTGACTAGGTAATCGTTTCAAAAGTTCTTCGATTAGGGTGATTAAACATTTTTGACAGTCTTTTAATATGCCTCTTAAGTGAAGTTTATCACGCAGTTCATTAGCCTCTTCTGCAAAATTATCGCGGAAAACTAAGTTTTGTATATTTTTATAATTGGAGAAAATTAATTTGAAGGGAAAAAATCGCCAATGGCGATTTCCTAAATTTTTACGCGCAAATATCAAGAAAAAAAATCGCCAAATGGGCGCGAAATCGCCAAGTCTGGACACTCTCTAACTAAGCTTAAAATAGAAAGGAAACCGGAAGATCGTATGTATGTCACAACTGCTACAAGACACTGGGAAGGTGCTATATTCAACAAAAATTTTTGGAAGTATAAACAGTTAAGTAGAAAGATATAGGCAAATAAAAAACGGTATGGACGCGACAAAAATTGAACTTATTTCGATACTATGGAGGAAGATCAGGCTGCTGTGTTGGACTCGGCCAAAATCGATTAGGCGATTACAGCGCCAAACAAAAAGAAGAAGATGAGAAATGTCAGCGTCTCGTGGCACTGTGAAGTACGAAGTGCTAAGGACCTCTCCTCTAGAATATCAATCGGGGCATATCAACCAACTTGCGGATAACTTTGCTGCTGAATCTGCGAAAAGATTGACAAGGAATTCCACTCAATGTGTTCGCAGATGGTTCTAAACTGTTGAGTGGACTTGCTGCTGGAATTTTCTGCCTGAAACTTAGCATCAGGAAACCCCAAAGACTAACTGATCATGGGAATATCTTTTAGGCAAACGCTTTGCTATTAGAAAAGTGCCGGGCTAGCTGGGAACAACTCAATGAAAAGTTATACGGCGATAGATACGTGTTTACATGAAGCAATTTTATAGGCACCTTGAGAGTTGAATCAAAAGTTGGCTGCCCCCCGACTTCATTGGAGGCGATTAGCTGAAAGGCAGTTCATACGAGGCGATTGTTGCTTTCGACTAAAAGTTGCCTCTAAAATCGGCCCATGTAAACACCGTATTAGCGACTCATGCACACAAAAATTTTCCAGATTCTGCTTTTCGAGAAATTGTCGTTTATGATGGCGCTTGTGTCGTGAATTGTCAAGAATGCAATGGAAATACTTAGGGTTTACTCAAAACTAGTGTTGATATCTTCACTTCAATTGGCAAGGAGCGATGACATATCAACTTATGTTTACCTAAATTAATATGAATAAGACCGTTTCTGGTATTGCTAGGCATCGATCAGATTAACCTAACCTAGGTATATAATTTACTTTAAAAAAGAAATCATGCTCCAGCTATAAATTACGTAGCTCCTAAGCATGTTGAGAACTTCAGACATGTGTGGCTAAGGAATGAAATATGTTAAAAAAATGAAATCAGAACTTAACAGATGATATCAAAATACAAAACAAAAGCAAGAAAGATTAATTACAAAAAATACTCAAAAGATGCTAAAACAGCACAGATTTCTCGACAAACAGCTTCACCAAAACTTGGTAGTGCACCGCAAATTTTGCAGACAAACAACAAACTACACAGGTACACAGTCTAACCGCAAGTGCGGCGGCAGTTTGATCAACAGCATCACCAACCAACGACAACTATGTATAGCTTTAACTGAAAACACACCGCCGCATATAACCAGCACATATTGTACTACATAGTATCCTGCTGCTTCGAACAAAAGCCTCTGCGGTTACGCTGCCTGCAACAACGGGACTCGGGTGCACAACTTGCTTGTTTTCCTTGTTGCTTGCTTGCAACAATCATATAGTAAAAATGTGATTGCGCGACACCTAACTCACTCCAACAATAACTGCAAGAATTTATGTAAAATGCCTGCTTAGCTTAAGGCGCACCGCTCCTGTCTGTTCGCTATTATTATTTGACTTTTCCGAGGAACCTGTTGCCTGTTAGGCTGGTCAGACTGCTGCCACACTTCGTTGCACTTGAATTGTAAATTTTTATGTTTGTGGTCGCTGAACAGGCAATTGGTGGCGTTGGAGTTGGAGTTGTTAAGCAAAGCAACAACAACAACAGCAAAAAAAAACGAAAAAAAAACTAAAAATGTTCTGTCAATGTTGTTGT